CTTCACCATCTCCCGAGTTTGCTCAAACTCACGTTCATTGAGTCAGTGATGTCTTCTGTAGGCTTTGACAAATGTATAATGGCATGTATCCACCATGAGAGTATCACACAGACCAGTTTCACTGCCCTAAACATCCCCTGGGCTCCAGCTATTCATCCTCCTTGTCTCTAAACGCTGGCAACCATTGATCTTTTTCCTGTCTCCGTAGCTGAGGCTTTTCCAAAATGTCATAGAGTTAGATCCATACAATATGTAGTCTTTTCAGCCTGGCTTCTTTCCCCATGTAGTGTGCATCAAGGTTCCTCCATGTCTTTTCATGGCGTGAGAGCTCATTTCTTTTTTGTGCCGAAAATACAATATTCCTTCGTGTGGATGTACTATGATGTATCCATCCACCTATTGAAGGACATCTTGGTGCTTCCAACTGGGGGCAGTTACGACTCATGGGCTTCCCAGGTGGCGAAAAACCTGCCTGCCAGTGCAGGAGATGTAAGAGACACGGGTTTGCTCGCTGGGTTGGGTAGACCCCCTGGAGGAGGGCATGGCAACCCTCTCCAGTATTCTTGCCCAGTTAGAGGATCCTGGTGGGCTACGGTCCATGGGGCCGCAGAGTCGGACACGACTGAGTGACGAAGCAGCAGAACTGCGTACATACAGTAAATCGCATTCATCCTAAATGTGCAGGTGGGTGAGTTTTTATGTAGATGCACATGAGGGATCAAGACGTGGGACCCCTCCAGCATCACAAGCCCTCTTGTGTGTAAGTCACTGCCCCTCTTACCCTCACTGCTCTGACTTCTAGCACAATCCATTGTTTCTGCCAGTCGGGCAGCTCCTGCCCTATAGCTTTGGAAGTAGGCGGTGAAGTAGGTGGGAGAGGTCATTACTAGCAGTTTGATTCATTTTGGTTTGTCTTGAATGGAGCCTGATTTCATCATCAAATTCTTCCTGCCTATCTAGAGCAGGAATTGGCATGAGTTCTGGGTAAATATTTTCAGCTTTGCCAGAGAATGAGTGAGCATGGCTGCATTCCAATAAAACTTTATTTACAGAAACAGGAAGAGGGCCAGGTTTGGCCCTTGGGCAGGAGTTTGTGAATCCAGGATGTTCTCATTCGCTAAGTCATGTCTGACTCTTTACCACCCCATGGACTTTAGCCCACCAGGCTCCTCTGTCCATGGAATTCTCCAGGCAAGAATATTGGAATGGGTTGCCATTTCCTACTCTAGGGGATCTTCCCAACCCAGGGATTGAACCCACATCTCTGGCATCCCCTGCATTGGCCAGCGTATTCTTTACAACTGAGCCACCAGTGAAGCCCCCAAACCAGGACAGAGCAGTGACTTTCCTTTGTAAAGTTCATGTCCAGTTGTTGTTGTTCAGTTGCCGAGTCGTGTCCGACTCTTTGTGACCCCATGGACTGCAGCATGCCAAGCTTCCCTGTCCCTCACCATCTCCTGGAGTTTGCCCAAGTTCATGTCATTGAATCGGTGATGCCATCCAACTATCTCACCCTCTGTTGCCCTCTTCTCCTTTTGCCTTCAATTTTCCCCAGCACCAGGGTCTTTTCCAATGAGTTGGTTCTTCGCATCAGGTGGCCAAAGTATTGGAGCATCAGCTTCAGCATCAGTCCTTCCAGTGAATATTTAGGGTTGATTTCCTTTAAGACTGACTGGTTGGATTTCCTTGCAGTTCAAGGGACTCTCAAGAGTCTTCTCTGGCACCACAACCTGAAAGAATCATGTCAGGCCCCACTCCAAATCTAAACCCACATGTCATGGGACCAGGGCAGCCTTCTGAGCATTTTAAAGCCTCCTCAGGTAACTTTCAAGCACATACCATGCAAACCTACTGGGTTTCCCTCCACAAGGGGAGACAAGATGTGTGCTGGGCCCAGAACTGTGAAAGTGGCTTTGAATTTAAACAAAAGCCCAGCTAGACCCTTCTGACCTTGACTTAGGTAATTTCACTTACCCTTTCACCACCTATCATTCTCTCCTCCTCCTCTTGAGATAACAGGCTTCTGTCCTGGGGTGGAGGGGGCAGGATGGATACTGATCAGAAAATACTTCTGTAAAAGCAGTAAAGAACACACCTGCCAATGCAGGAGATGTGGATTTGATCCCTGGGTTGGGAAGATCCCCTGGAAGAGGGCATGACGGCCCACTCCAGTATTCTTGCTGGAAAATCCCATGGACAGAGGAGCCTGGTGGACTATAGTCCATGGGGTCACAAAGAGTCGAACAGGACAGACCACACAAAGTTGAGGATGAGGAAGTTTCCTTGGTGAAAGCGGAGGGGCTGGGGCATTATGGGGGAGATCAGGAGTCTTGGGGAATCCCTGCAGAAATGAAAAGTCAGCCCCCGGGGAGTGAGAGAAAGTTGTGGTCAGAGGGGGAATTTTACAGTTTGGCTCCTTGGACATGTAATGGTTTTGAGCACGTGTGGGATTGTCAGCTGTTCACAATGACAGCATGGTGTGTGTTTCAGGCACTGAATACCTGCCACCTTCACTTGATCTTTTTAAGCGGATAATCTCGGCAAGGGCTCCCGTGGGCCCTCCCATTTTACAGAAGCAGAGACTGAGGCGATGAGAAGTTCTGTAGCTTAGGACGGCTGCGGAGCTGCTCAGAGGTTGGAGCCAGGATTTGGATCCTGGCAGTCGGGCACCTCCGCGCGGTTTGCCTCTCAAGGCGCGGCCATCAGGTGGGTGCCTGGGACGAGGGAGTTGGGAGCTGGTGGCATTGAGAGCTGGAGGTAACCGTTGGCTCCTGTGTGCTCCAAGGCGGAAGGCACAGGGGACCGCATATCAGGGAAGGGAGGGCAGGCTCAAACCATGGCTTTCTAGACTCTCAGAAAGCTCATCTCTGAGCTCACGTTCGTGTTAGCAGAGGGAGAGGGGTGGGCGGGGGCCCAGGCTAGGCAGACTGCAGGGAGATGGGGTGAGGGTTTGGAGGGTTGTCCAGAGAACAGCCCACGTAAAACAGGATTAAAGCACTATTTGAAAGTACAACAGGCGTCCTTTTCTGCTTGCTTTGGGCTTGGTTTGGATACTTAAAACAATAGCAGCAACAACAATAATGATATCATCCCTTCAAGTTAAGGAAACAGTCAGTTAACCAGAACTCAATTAAATAAGCAGAACCTTCCAACAAGTGGAATTTTTTCTGCATTTTCTTTCAGGAAACCACAGTCAGAAAAAGAAAAACAGTGGGTGGGCAGGGGATTTATTCGAAGGCATAACTTCCAGGTTTCACCCTGGATTAGTGAACACTTGGGCCTCTGTACACCTTTTAAGTCTGTATTGTTCTACAAAAAAGACACATGCTCCCAGTAAGCCTGAAGGGACTGGATTACAAGGTTCAACACAACAAATGTTTGCTGAGAATCTTAAAGCCAGGTGCTCTTGGGGATATAAAAATGGTCTCTGTCCTCAAAGGACATTGGAAAAGGATTCATTTATCTTTGGGTGAAGGGCTTCCCAGGTGGCTCAGTGGTAAAGAATCTGCCTCCAAGCAGGAGATTCAGGTTTGATCCCTGGGTTGGGAAGTTCCCCTGGAGGAGGAAATGGCAACCTGCTCCAGCATTCTTTTTCTTTTTTTTTTTTTAATAATTTTATCTATTTATGGCTGTGCTGGGTCTTCATTGGTGCACGAGTGCTTTCTCTAGTTGCGGAGAGTGGGGGCTACTGTTTGTCGCAGGCCCTAAAGCATGCAGATTTCAGTAGTTGTGGCACATGGGCTTAGTTGCTCCGCAGCGTGTGGAATCTTCCTGGACCAGGGATCGAACCCGTGTTCTCTGCATTGGCAGGCGTTTTCTTATCCACTGCAACACCTGGGAAGTCCCCACTCCAGCATTCTTGCCTGGGACATTCCATGGACAGAGGAGCTTGGCAGGCTACAGTCCGTGGAGTTGCTACAGTCCATGGAGTTGACAGGATTTAGCAACTGAGCATGCAATGCATGCATCTTTGGGTGAAGGGGGCGAAAGTATGTTAAGACAACTAAATCCTCAATAATGTGTAAGGCAAAAAGAGGTATCAGAGGGGGGCTTCCCTGGCGATCTAGTGGTTAAGACTCTGTGTTTCCACTGCAGGGGGCACAGGTTTGATCCCGGTTCAGGGAACCAAGGACCCACATGCTATGTGGCGTGATCAAAAGAAAACAGTGTAAGCGATTCCCCAGAGTCTTGTCTTCTGGAACAATCAGGTCTGGAAGTGCCATGCGATCACATCTAATTCTTAAATGCCACTGGTTCGGTTGCCAGGAGAGCTCGGCATCTGAAAGGCACAGGTGAGAACCTTCTGGAGAAAGCTGGCCTTGGGCACAGCCCCTTCTTCCTTTGCAAGAGGAGGAATGAGTGCAGAGGTCATCTGAAGCTTAGCTGACGTCCCCGTGGGAGTCAGGAGCCCACCGTGCTACGGGAGCCTCCAGGGTGCTCACCCTGACAGCCTTCCTTCTCAGAGATCAAGCAGGCTCGGCCCCCGAAGGCCTGCTGGCTGCCTTTAGACGCGGCATGTAGGAGGCTCCCAGACCCTGTGAAACACAGCCTGCGGCATTTTGTTGACATAATTAGTGGCCGTCATTTAAAAATCAGATTTCCCACAAAAGGTCTAGGTTTCTAGCTTCCCGCAGAGATATCAGATCTGGCAATACTGGGTTAGTTTGCTAGTGTCAAGTTGCCTACCCTCTCTCCCCAGCAATGAATTGCTACCTGTCATGGGGCAGAAAACTAAGATCATGGCATCCAGTCCCATCACTTCATGGCAAATAGATGGGGAAACAGTGGAAACAGTGGCTGACTTTATTTTCTTGGCNAATTTATTTTATTGAAGTAGAGTTGATTTACAATATTGTGTTAGTTTCCACTGTACAGCAAAGCGATTCAGCTATACATGTATATACATTCTTTCTGGTATTCTTTTCGATTAGGTTTATTACAGGATATTGACTATAGTTCCCTCTATACAGGAGGACCATGCTGTTGATCCATCCTCTATATATAATACTTTGCATCAGCTAATGCCTCCCTCAGTCCATCCCTCCCCCAGCCCTTGCCCTTGCACACGGCCTGCTTTCTGGCTCCAGGGTTAAAATGCTGCTTGTCACCAGCACCAGTGGTTTGGACCCAGACATGCCCACGTGGCCCCCGCTGATGTGAGGCTTCTGAACCCATGGGCTGCATGTGACCAAGCAGCTCAATTACTGACGGAATAACCCAACATTTCCCTTTGGGGAACTGGTCATTGTTGCTGCTAGATAGGAAGGCAGTGATCAGTGTCACAATACATTTCAAAGGTGATGCAGTTTCAAAGAGGGCAAGTGATATTTGGAGTCATATTATGGGAAAGTACTGGATTCTTCGAGGGTGGGAAAAATGTTGGTGTGATGAGGACTGTTTCGAGTCTTCTAGCCGAGTGATGCTTTCTCTGAGCTGTGCCCTGGTGGAGTCTGGGTTGAAACGCACGGAGAACATGTGGGTCGTGGAAACCACAGAGCGCATTTGGCCACTGTCCTTGGGGCCCTGGTCTGAGCGGGCTTCTGGGTTCTTTCCTAGGCATCCAGTGGCCACATTTTTCCACCTGTTTTTTCGCGTGAGTGCCATCATCACCTACGTGGGCTGTGACTGGTTCAGCAAGAGCTTCGTGGGCTGTTTTGTCACTGTGCTTCTCCTCCTGTCCTTTGACTTCTGGTCTGTGAAGGTAAGCCCCAGCTCCCCGCAACCTGTGACTCCCTCTCTCCCGAAACACGGGGCTGCGTTTCTAGCCATTCACTGACCCTTATGCGGACTTAAGAATACTAAGCCAACATCACTTAAAATCAGAGGAAAAAAGTACATTGCATAGTTGAACTAAATGGCTTCTGGGTGGCCACTGTCATGCTTGCAGACACGTACTATGTGAGGGAGACAACTCCATAGTGTTTTGGGTTTTTTGTAAATTTCATATATCATATTATAAAAAATGTATTTTAAAATTCTATAAATAGGAATACATATATGTATATATGTGTGTATGTATGTTTGGGGAGTCTGTCTTTTTTTGTGAATAGAACTTAATTTTTAAAAGTTTTTATTGGATATAGTTGATTTACAATGTTGTGTCAGTTTCCAGCATACAGCAAAGTGAATTAGTTATGCATACATCTGCTCTTGTTAGATTCTTTTCCCATGTAGGTCATGTCAGAGTATCGAGTAAAGTTCCCTGAGCTACACTGTAGGTACTTATTAGTTATCTATTTTATATATGGGTTCCCCTGATAGTTCAGTTGGTAAAGAATATGCCTACAATGCAGGAGACCCTGGTTCCATTCCTAAGTCATGAAAATATGCTGGAGAAGGGATAAAATATATGTATTTTACATATAGTAGTATGTATATGTCAATCCCAATCTCCTAATTTATCACTCCCCCACTTTGCCCCCCAAGTAACCATAAGATTATTTTCTGTATCTAGAACTCTAATTCTGTTTTGTCAATAAGTTCATCTGCATCATTTTTTAGATTCCACATATAAGCCACATCATATCTGTCCTCTGTCTGACTTACTTCACTCACTGCGAGAATCTCTAGGCCCATCCATGTTGCTGATGGCATTATTTCATTCCTTTTCATGGCTGAGTAATACGCCTTTTTATATATGTAGCACATCTTCCTTACCCATCCTGTGTTGATGGACAGGTAGGCTGCCTTTTAAGGTAAGCTTAGTTAAGAATTACAGACCTCAAAACTGATTTCGAGAAAGCCCCACTCTTCAGTCCCCCTCTCCTCAGGTTTGACATGAACGGGTCACTTTTATTCATCCAGGAAAAGATGAGGCCTCTTTCTTGACCTGTGATCTGCTTATGAGCATCCTGTCCACTTTTCTCAGAATGTAACCGGACGACTCATGGTGGGCCTTCGCTGGTGGAACCAGATTGATGAAGATGGGAAAAGCCACTGGATTTTTGAAGCCAGAAAGGTATCTTCCAGTACTTGTCAAGCTAGAGCCGAGGAAACGGCCGTGGAAAGTCCCTCTGGGTTCCTTCTGAGCTCTGCATGATCTGATCCCTCCTGGACACAAGGCCCATGGCGGCTGGTGCCCGTTCAGAGCCCCCACTGGCAGAAGCACGTGTGATATTAACAAAAATCAGAGCATGCTCCTTTGGGACTGTTTCTGCGAGTTGTGCATCCGAATCTCTTTCTTGCTACAGGTCTCTCCAGACACGGTGGCTGCCACAGAGGCGGAAGCGCGGGTCTTCTGGCTCGGCCTCATCGTCTGTCCCATGATTTGGATCGTGTTCTTTTTTAGCTCCTTATTTTCCTTGAAGCTCAAGTGGCTGGTAAGGCAACACTCGCTCGGATGTCTGTGCAGAACCGGTGGTTGCAGAAGTGGGTTTTTGTTCTTGATTGAGCAATCGATGGATCGAAACAGCTTTATTGAGAAAGAATTCACATACCAGGTAGTGCACCCATTTTGTGTGTATGATTCAGGAGCTTCCCAGGTGGCTCAGTGGTAAAGAATCCACCTGCCAAGCAGGAGACAGGTTCGATCCTTGGGTCGGGAAGATCCCCTGGAGGAGGAAAGGGCAACCCACTCCAGTATTCTAGCCTGGGAAATCCCATGGACAGAGAAGCCCCGAGGGCTACAGTCAGTGAAAAAACAAAAGTCGCTCTGTTGTGTCCGATTCTTTGCGACCCCGTGGGCTGTATAGTGGGGTCGCAAAGAGTTGGACATGATTGAGCAACTGAACAACAGCAAGTCTGTTTCAGGGTTGTGCAGCCAGCACCACAGTCAGTTTTAGGAAATTTTTATCACCCCAGGAGACCCTGAGCCCTTTAGCCATACCCCTCCCCGTGCCTCTGTTCCCCTAGCCCCAGTTTGTGAAAGTGTTAGTCGCTCAGTCATGACCAACTCTTCATGATCCCATGGACTGTAGCCTGCCAGGCTCCTCTGTCCATGGAATTCTCCAGGCAAGAATACTGGAGTGGGTAGCCGTTCCCTTCTCCAGAGGATATTCCCAACCCAGGAATCGAATCAGGGTCTCCTGCATTGCAGGCAGATTCTTTACCAGCTGAGTTACCAGGGAAACCCCACACCGCCCCTGTTCCCCGCCCCCCTCCATCCCAGCCCCCTGCCACTCACGAATTTATGTTTCTATAGATTTGGCTCTCTGGACATTTTCTATAAAAGAATCATACAATACATGGTCTTGTGTGACTCGGTTCTTTGACTTAACAATGTTTTCAGGATTTATCCTAGTTGTAGCAGGTATCAGTATCGCTTTCCTTTTTATGACTGAATACTGTTACCTAATCTGGACGGACCACGTTTTGTTTATCTGTTCATCCGCTGATGGACATTTGGTGGTTTCCACCTTCTGGTCCATATGAATAATGCTGCTGAGAGGTATTTCTAGAAAAAGTGGATGACATCCTAGCTTGGATAGGTAGGAAATTTGCCTCAGTAGGAATAAGCCAGCCTCAGGATTCTGGAGTTTTATTTCTGAGTTATAACACTGCTTTGCCATGACCTAGGTCATTCCACAAGGAAACAAAATATCCACAGACGGTATGAGCCACAGCATAACTGAGTTTGGGCTCTGGAGTCTGGGTCCTGGCTCAGTCTCATTCCAGCTCTGGGACTTCAGGCAACTTGAGCTTCCCTGGACTTCCATGTCCTCCCTGTAAAGTGGGACGATAGTGGCCCCAGCCTCTCCGGTTTCTGGTGTTTAAAAGGTGTCCTTGAGTATCTGTATTATTATGATTATGTTAGTCGCTCAGTCATGTCTGACTCTTTGCAACCCCATGGACTGTAGCCCACTGGGTTCCTCTGCCCATGGGATTCTCCAGGCAAGAATATTGGAGTGGGTTGCCATTCCCTTCTCCAGGGGATCTTCCTGACCCCAGGATCAAACCCAGGTCTCCCGCATTTCAGGCAGAGTCTTTACCATCTGAACCACCAGATGAACCACCAGAGCTTTATGGGAAGCTCTCCATAAGGGCTGGCTAACACTGGTGGGTGTGGGCCAGAGCCACTCCTGCTTGGTTTGGGAGGACCATTTCAATCTGTGCTCTCAGAATGACCTCTGCTTCGTTTGAATGCAGGCCCTAGTGATAGCTGGGATCTCTCTCCAAGCCGCCAACCTGTATGGCTACGTCCTGTGTAAGATGGGAGGCGAGAGCGACATCAGCAAAGTCACAGCCAGTTTTCTGTCCCAGACAGTGTTCCAGACGGTGAGTTACTCAAGTCCGACTCCTGGACCCCTGATCTCCAGACACTGGAGAGTCCCGGAGGCCTGCTGGCAGTGGCAGTTTATGATGTTTTTCTGTATCAGCCAGGCTGCCAGTGTTAGCTGGGGTTTTGTGTTCGTGGTTAAAATACGCACAACAGAATTTTACCCTTTTAGCCATTTTTAAGTGTACGGTTCAGTATACGCACATCATCATGCTGCCACAACTCTCACCCAAGAAAACTCTGTACCCACTAAACATTTAACTCATTCTCCACCCTCCCCAACCCCAGTAAACTCCAGGCAACCACTTACTTTCTACCCACATGAATCTGACTAATCTAGGGACCTCACGTAAGTGGAATCACACAGCGCTTGTCCTTTTGTGATTGCCATTGTTGGTTTTGAGTGATTTCTTTAAACTATGGAGGGCTTCTTTGGTGACTCAAGACAGTGAAGAGTTTGCCTGCAATGAAGGAGACCTAGGTTCGATCCCTGGGTTGGGATCCTCTGGAGAAGGGAATGGCAACCCCCAATATTCTTGTCTGGGAAATCCCACGGACAGAGGAGCCTAGTGGGCTACAGTCCATGGGGTTGCAAAAAGTCGAACATGACTTAGCGACTAAACCACAACAACAACAATAGAATTAAGAGCTGTAACAATTTTTTCAAACCTAGCCTGAGTTCTAGAAGCAACAACAGATCTTCTAAATGTGACCAGGCTCTTCCTGAAATGATTTGAGCGATCTTAAGTGTGAACAGTGCACTTAAGCTTTAAACCAAGACCTTGAGCAAGCAGCCCTGCAGGCTTTCGGTTCACCATGGACTTGCCCTGGCCTTGATTTGACAGTCAGGCCATGCACATGTGGGACAGAAAGCCAGGGCCATCTCTTCCTCTTGCAGGCCTGTCCTAGCGACTTTCAGAAGCCTGGCCTCGAGGGGCTGGAGATTCACAAGCATTAGGTAAGCGGTGGGGTCGAGATGGTGACCTGGACGGTGCGGGGCTAGGGGTTCTAGATTCTTTACCAGCTGAGCCACCAGGGGAGCCCCCCGCCAGATAGAGTAAACACATAATTCCTGTATGGAGTGTCTGCACTGACCCCCAATTCTGTTCATGTGGGTGATTTGTTTCTGACTATGCCTGGCCGCATCCTGTGCACTGACTTTGGCCCAAGCCCCAGTGGGAGGCTCTGTCACTATTTGAAGTTTCCCTCCATCGGAGAACAGTGTTTGCACTATGCTCTCAGTGGTAAAGAATCCGCCAGCCAATGCAGGAGACTCGGGTTTGACCCCTGGGTTGGGAAGATTCCCTGGAATAGGAAATGGCAACCCACTCCAGTATTCTTGCCTGGAGAATCCCATGGACAGAGGAGCCTGGCGGTTACAGTCTATGGGGTTGCAAAGACTCAGACACGACTTAGTGACTAAACCACAAGAACGAGGCTGCAGCGAAGCCACACGTCCTCCCCTCTATTCCTTTGGCTCTTTTTCAGGCTTATTTTCCAAGGCGGCAAAGGCACAAGTGAGAGGTTCTGTAGGACAGCTTCCGACACAGAAGAGAATTTCATGATCCACGAGCTGCTGGGTTTTCACGAGAAGCAGGCCTCGGGGCAGAGGTTTGAGGAGCTGTTTTTATTTTTCAAATGGCACATCTGTAAAGAACGCCCTTTACATACGTTCTAAAGGAAAGTGTACAAATGCTAGATGATTAAAGTGTCTCTGAAAAAGTGGCTTCACGCCATGCCCGGGGCTGGTCCCTGTCTGCCTGTGACCCGCTCTGTCCCCACGCTGGCCAGACCTGACGGATGGCTCGCGCTGCTGCCGTTCTTCACGGCCTCCTGTCTCAGGAGCCGACGAGGTTCTCTCCTTCTGGCAGACGCTGACTACAGAACTCCTGGATTCCTGGAAAACAGGACAGCAGGCGCAGAAGCACTGGTGGCTCTCGGTGGCCCTGCCCTAGGCTGGCAAGGCCGCGTCTAAATGGGGTGGAGTCCCCAGGTGGCTTAATTCACCCCAGAGTCCCATCTCAGCTGATGCCCTGAATCTCTGCAAGTGAGCCCAGTACTGCTGGCTGCCCATCAGTGGCTACAAGCACGGCTGGAGGCCTCCTGTCGGCCCATTCTACAGATCGAGGATCCCGGAAACAATGTTGTTGACCCTGGACACCATTTCACTAGGCCAGCAGGGCTCAGCCACAAGCCAGCAGCCTGGAGCTTTAACTACTGACACATCTGCCTCAACTTCAGGGTCTCTGACAGCTGCCCGTTGACTGAATCAGGCCTGCACCTGGGTCTGGTTTGGCTCACTTTGCTTTTATTTTTTTCCCCTTCTTAAATTCTTTTTACAGTTTTACTGAGGTGTAATATTAATGTTTCCTATACTGTAAACTTCACCCTCACTGTGTTTTTAAGCTATGACTTAGTTCACAATATTGGTGGACTGGAAGATTTTCCCAGACTCCTGGTTTCCTGGGCTGAGGGGGTCATCCCAGACCCCACCACCCCCATGTCCCCATGGAGGCTGCATGGCCATTCAGGACACCAAATAGTATCTTCTCACTCCCAAGTCCACTCTGCTCACATGCATCACTTCCTGGCCCCGTGGCCCTCTGGATTCACAGGTCCCCTTAAGCACTTACTCTGAATTATACTTCTGTAGGCGACAGTGGCGGGTGAATCTGGCGCTTCCACCAAAAAAGACTGTCCTTTGTCGCAGCTCTTACCTTAAAGAAACAAAGCAAGGGAAATTAAAACCCACGAAGAAAACACAGTGGTGACCTGAACTTGGGGCTCCTTCTGTGCCGGTGACATGGGAGATCTCAGGCCCACCTCCCTCATAATGAAGATCAAAGCTGAGACAGGACGTCGGGGTCTCTGGGACCTCACCTGCCTCCCCTCCACCCAGCAGCGAGTCTGGCTGGTGTTGCCTCACGGCTCTGACCCGTGCCTGGGCAATGCTGCTTCGTGTGTGTATATGTGTGCCTGAGAACCCTCTGGGTGAAGTGTGGCAAATGCAGGTTCCAGGGCCCCATAAAGAACAGATTTAGCAGCTCCTGGGTGGGCCCAGGAACCTGCATTTAAAAAAGATCGATTCATTCTCCAGTAAGATAATGAAGGCTCAGAGTGAAAGAGTAGGGAGGACGGAAGGTTACACCGTGAGGAACTGAGTTCAAGGGAAGCTACTGGGGTGTCAGCTGCCTTTCTAGAAATAATATATACATGTAAGTGTGACATATGCATATACACACTCAAGTATTTTTTTAAAAAAAGCTTGGGAGCATACACACATTCCGCCCGTTGTTTTCTCCCTGTGGAACTGTACCTTGAGGGTCACTCCACATTGGCATCAACCCATCCAGGTGGGCATGGGGCGGGGCCTGGGCCGGGGGGAGCTCCTCTCCTGTCTGGTCCTGAGTAGACCCTGCCCCCGCCCCCTGCCCCCCGCTCCTGCTGGAGAAGCAGGATCAGTGGTCCCACAACCCACAGCTGCTCCCCAGCCTCTGGGGGGACCCTGGCCAGGCCAACTGTGGAGCAATCATCCCCCCAGCGCGTTGCTGGGTGGGACAGGGACACCTGGGGGTTTGGGGGTGTGGAGTGGGGCCCCACATGGCCTGGGCACTGTGTATAGAAGAGCTAGGGAAGCCTCCAAGTTCCTGGCCGCAGGACCAGGCCTGGGAGGTCACCGGTCCCACAGCAGGCTCGTGGGGCCGCTTCCTCCTGATGTTCACCCGGCATCCTCTTGCTCCGCATCCTCCCTTCCCCAGGAGACCTGCCCGAACCCTCACAACTTGCTCTGGTCGGCTGCCCACCACCACAAACCTCCCCTCTCCTGGGCCCTGTCCTGTCTGAGACCGCCCCCCTCGCCTATGCCATCCAGTCCCCATGGTGGCTCCATCACATCCCCACCTATCAGGCGAGCCTGAGGCTCGGAGCCCAGCAAGGACCCGCCCAAGCCCAGAGCCAGCGGAGGGGCGACGGGGGCGGTGGGGGTGGTCCAGGACTGGGGTGAGCGGCTGGGAAGCTGGGATCCCAATGCCAAAGCCTGGCAGCTCCCTCGCTGCGTGTTCGCACAGGGGCTGTGCGCGTCCTCCCGTCTCCCCGGTGACGGGGCGGCTCCCTCACTGCACAAAGCAGCTCTGGGGGCCTCGGCGGCCTCCCTGGCCCTGTCTGCCTCACCGCAGCCCATGGCGGTGTTCACCCCCGTCCTTTCCCACACTCGCTGCCTCCGGCTCTGCAGTTTCAACTGGAGGTGAGGTCTGGGGAGGTGCCCCCTGTCACACGGGAGTGTGCCCACTGGACGGCACTGCGTCCTCTCAGCTCAGGACTGAGCCCCGAGGCCGCCATCTGGCCGCCTCTCGCACCAGGAGCTCTGAGGACTGAGGCTGCCGCAGCCTGCAGCTGGCGGGAGTGACCACTCAGGCCCGCTGCCCACCTGGCCCCACACGGTAGCACGGCCAGCCTGCCTCCAGGGACTTTGAGAGGCGGTCCCTGCTCCTACGACCCCAAGGGACACGCTGGTCAATGCGAAGACGACACTCGGGAAGGCTGGAAAAGCAGCCAGAGTTGTTTCCCGGCGGGGAACCAGGTACAAGTGCTTCTGGAGGTGGGCACCGTTGAAGGGGCTCGAGGAGCCACCCTGCTGGGCACCCAGGCACTCTGGGGTCTTCAGCCCCCCTCCTCGGGGCAGGCCTCCTCCACACTGTGCTCTCGGCCCCCTCTATGCCATCCCCCCATCGTGGACACGGCCCCCTCTGCTCTCGACCTCTCACCAGCTGACAAGCTAAGGCCCTGCCCACTCCACACGGTGTCAGCAGGGAGCCAGGAGCTCGCTGGTCCTGGGGGGCATCCCCAGCTCCCCGGGGGGTCACGCTGGGCAGCATGGACTTCGGGGACACTGCCTTCTCCCCACCTGTCCCAGCCTGTCGCTTCCCCTCTCTGTGTCTCTTCCTCTCCACGATGATGCCCGGCTTGGTCCGGCCCTAACCTCCTCCCAACCAGTGCCGTGGCCCACAGCCTCAGCCTCTAAGCACACACAGCACCCACCCTCCCTGGTCTCATTTCCTGACAATTGGAGTCCAAACCACAAGGCTCAGCTGCAGAGCTGTCCACACCTGGGCTCCGACCCCCCGAGAGTCTCCCTTGGCCCCTTAGGCCTTGTCTGCAAAACCTTACTGCCCCACTTTCTCGTCATAGACACATCTAATTTCAGCAAGCCCGACTCTGTTACGGTGGGGAAAGAAATTCGGTGGTGGGTGTCACTGAAAGGGGGAGGCTGTCCCCCTGCTCCACACAGCAAGCTGATGCCCCGGAGTGACTGTGGTGTGGAGGTGGGGGCCTGAGGACTCTGGTACCCAGAGAGGAGCATGACCCCTGAAGGCAGGCCAGCAACATGCCTTCCTGCTCACCCATCCAGGCATCAGGAGGGCTGTGCTGGGCTTCCCTGTAGATAGGGCAAGGGGGGGGCCCTTCCTCAGGGTTCTCAAGACTGATTCTGTCGATGACTTTCATGCCAGGACCTACTTCCTGTGTGAGACAGGACTCGAATACATGCCCTCGCCTCCTTCCCCTGGTCACCCCCGCCTGGCCCCTCTCCTTGGTGACCTCCTGTCCTGCCGCCCCCCCCGCACCAGATGCCTCCCTGACCAGTCTCTCCTCCACTCTTGCAGGCCCTTCCCACCTCCCCAAGGCCCTCCTGCTCCCTCACCACACCCCTGCGTATTTCCCTGCTGCTCTCAGCTGGGGGGCACACGGGCCCCATGCAGGAGGGATGCACCCACCTATGCGTGGATCCAGCGGCACTTTGCCAAGCAGCGGGATCTTCAGGTCCTGGCACATGGCCTCCGCACCCCCCGTTGTCGGTGGGAATATCTGGGACTCTTTCTGAAAGGCAATGTGAACGGGGGAGGAATCTCGAGTTTGTGTCGGAATCATATGAACGGACCACAATTTAAAGAAACTAAAAAAAAAAAAAGGCTCTTCTGAACATGAAAAGAATTTCCATTAAATTGGCAACAGAGGGTTTTTTTTTTAAAACTATGATTCCAGTTCCCAAATGATGCGGAAAGCAGAAACGGTTTCCCAGACACCCGACCCCACCATTTCCCCAAGCGTGGAGGCCAGGACCTTGAGGGGAACGTGCCCTCACCTGGCATTTGGGGCAGATGAAGCTGCTCATGTTCTCCACCACCCCGATGATGGGCAGCTTCACCTTGTGGCAGAAGCTGATCTCTTTCCGGACATCCTGGAGTGACACTTCCTGTTAAAGTTCCAGAAGACTGGTTACTTCAGAGTCTGGGCACAGACAGGGAACTATCGCGTGGTGGAGGGACAGCTGCAGGGCCGCGGCGTCATGGCCGTGAAGCTTTAGAGACTCCGTACCTAAGGGTCTCCCTGGCGGCTCAACGGTAAAGAACCTGCCTGCCAGTGCAGAGTTGCAGAGTCAGACACGACTTAGCGACTGAACAACAACCGTTCTGTGAGTTTTTCATGCAACCACGTGTGAGCCCTGTTTTAGGCAGGGGCGGGGGGCAGCCTGCACGCTCACCTGACTGTCTGTTTTCATAGATCGAGTTCTTCTGAGCACAGCCTGACCCGCACGTCACCTCTGGCCACTTTCATCCCATAACGGTGCCCCTGGGGGGCTGGGACAGAGACCCTGTGACCCGCCAAGCCTCAAATAGCTCCTCTCTGGCCCTTACCAGAAAAAGTCTGCCGACCTCTGACCTTGGTTATCATGACCACAACTTTATGGACCAAAAGAAAGTAAGGAATATTACCCGGTTTGGAGCCCTGCCAATTCACTTCTGGACTCTGTGTGAGGAGCATGGGTAATCAGAGCTTAGTACCCTCCACAATCCACCTTTATCGCAGACACATGTCCAAGTGCTGTGTGCTGTCAAGTACGGCTTTAATGGTCATGGGCCCCCGTGGACCTGGGCTTTGAGGCTATTCTCCTGAGGTCCATGTTTGTCCCTGGAGCCCTTGGAGGCTGGGGTGCAGACAAAAGGCCTTGGCTGGAAAGTAAACCTGCTGGTACTAAGCATCTCCTTAGGGTGCCTCTGGTTCTCTCCCCAGTGTCCTCTCAAAGCCCTGCTTTCTCAAAAATGTCGCCCAAAGCCAGCCAGCTGCTGGATGTGCACGGCTCCGAGGAAGTGGGTGTGCCCAGCCTGAAGTCCTGTTTTCTAGAGAAGTGATGCACACAGGACAAACACAGCATGTCCTCGCCGGCTTCCTGGGGAACGGCTGCTCCCCTCCTCCTGGACCTAAGGGGACTGTTTCCTTTCACAGTAAATATGGTATTGGAGAAGCCACTCTTGTATCAACTTGATTGCTGCTGTTGCTTTTGACCATTTTTACAGTGGTTTTAGGCTCACAGAAAGCAGAGTCCCCATGTGTCCCTGCCCCACATGGGAACTGGAAAGTAAACCTGCTGGTACTAAGCATCTCCTTAGGGTGCCTCTGGTTCTCTCCCCAGTGTCCTCTCAAAGCCCTGCTTTCTCAAAAATGTCACCCAAAGCCAGCCAGCTGCTGGATGTGCACGGCTCCGAGGAAGTGGGTGTGCCCAGCCTGAAGTCCTATTTTCTAGAGAAGTGACGCACACAGGACAAACACAGCATGTCCTCGGGGGCTTCCTGGGGAACGGCTGCTCCCCTCCTCCTGGACCTAAGGGGACTGTTTCCTTTCACAGTAAATATGGTATTGGAGAAGCCACTCTTGCATCAACTTGATTGCTGCTGTTGCTTTTGACCATTTTTACAGTGGTTTTAGGCTCACAGAAAGCAGAGTCCCCATGTGTCCCTGCCCCACATGGGAAGCCTTGCTCGCTGTCAGCACCCGCCATTGGGGTGGACGTCCCAACTCCACTGTCCTTGAAGGTCACTTCTCTGGGACTTGCTCTCGAGAGCACGACTGGCCTAAGGGTCTAAGAGCGCACTGCTGGTCGCCCAGCTCTGTTAAATATCCATCAGGAAACATTTCTAATGAAGCATCCATCTTCTCTCCACCTCCATCCTCGGGCCAGGCCCCCTTCCACCCCTGCTCGAGCCACCCACCACCCCAGCCACCTCATGCCTCCCTGTCCACTGACAATGGCTGAACTAAAGATAAACATAAGGTTTCTGCGGATCCCAGCCAGGGTGTGGGTCTCGGGCTGTGGGAGAAAGAGACCCCCCGGTGCAGTGCAGTGTGAACCCCGCTCCACCCAGCCCTCGCTCACCTGGGGCGTGGTGATGATCACCGCCCCATCGATGTGCGCCGCAGCCAGGTACTGCACCACCGAGAGATGCTCATCCGACGTTCCGGGCGGGGTGTCCACAATGAGGTAGTCCACCCCGCCCCAGTCCACATCGCGGAGGAACTGCTTGATCATGCCTGCGGGGGAGGCCGCGGTGATGCACGCTGTCTCCTGTCCTCTGAGCCTACAAAAGCACAGCTCCTGACCCTTCGCACAGCTCACGTATGCGCTCCATCGGCGGGGTCTGGCGGTGCCTGCGGGCTTGTCCATAACTAGGGGGGGTCTTCTACTCACCTCCAGGGTGGCACGGCCAGGGAACTGCCAATACCCTGTGATGCAGAGGACCGTCCACCCCCAACCTCCCCAACAAGGGATTGTCTGGCTCGGAACATCAGAGCACTGAGGCTGAGGAGCCTTGCCCAGGTTGGCACTTCAGTACCTGCAGCCTGGACACCCTGTCAAACTGGTACTGACTTCACCCCTCACCCTCCTCTGACACAAACAAGAGCACAAACCACCGGAAGGATCATTTCAGGATTAGATGGGTTTTCAGGAGAGCAAAACCCATCAGAGATATGGAAATCTGTAATGTTGTATTTATTAAGTAAAATTGGAATTTCTTTGGGCTCTTTTTAACCAGTGAAGAAAGAGGCCACCAGAGACACAGGCCATCCTGATGGGATGGGATCTGCTTCTGCCCCTGGAAGGATGTGACAAGAGAGAGAAAGTGGAGTGACAAACCGTTTTTCTTTGGTCCCCTCCAGATGACGGCATCGTCAGGGCTGCTGAGCAAGAAACCCACCGACATCACCCCCAAGTTGTCTTCCAGGAACTGGAAAGGATGATGCAAGAGACATTTTACTTCAAACCACAGTGCCAGGCACTTCCCTCTGTCTTGTGTCTGAGTGCTGGCAGCAGCAATTGAGGGGACAAAGTTACTATATGATGTGAGTATCTATTCACTTTTTGAATCCTTAAATTTCTCCCCCACCAAAAAAAAAAAACAATAAAAAAAAAAAGGTTGCCATATTTGGGGGGATTGAAAGGGCCACCGTATGGTCCTAGGTGGCAATGACAGTGACTTCTGCTGAAATGAACAAATACTGTCTCCTCTGAAGGAGGCGACAGAGGATGAGATGGTTGGACGCATCATGGACTCAGTGGACATGAGCTTGAGCAAACTTTGGGAGACAGTGAAGGACAGGGAAGCCTGGTGTGCTACAGAGGGCGCAAAGAGCTGGACATGATGGAGTGACAAAACAACAACAAACCTGCTGTTTTAATCTGGCTGGCCCCGCTTCTGGTTTCCTACATAAAGTTTTATTGGAAAAGGGCCACGGTCATTCATTTGCATATCACTACGTTCCATCTATGACGGGGGCAACTGTTTGGCCCACAGAGTGGAAAGAGCTACTCTCTGAGCCAATCTCTGGTCGTAACTGGATCCCCCAGGCCCAGGAAAGTGCCTCATTGACTACCTGTTGACTGATAAACAGTCACCAACTGACTGCCCACCACTATCCGCCATGTACATGCCACCCCGAAGGGAAGGCCTGGGGTGGATACTCACCACTGGAGACCAGCCCGAGCCGCTCTGGTGAACCTGTGGGAACAGGAGCCTGTCTCACTTGTGAGAAACTACACGCCCTGGTCACACTTTACACGCCAAGTTTACGCAGTAGGAGGACAGCTTCATAAATTACGATTCATCGTCTTAAAGGCTGCCACTGAATTCTTAACGGGGAGTGAACATCAGAGGGTCGGGGCTAGGTGATACAGGTGCGTGCCCAGTTGCTTCAGGCATGTCCGACTCTTTGCGACCCTATGGACTGTAGCCCACCAAGCTCCTCTGTCCATGGGGTTTTCCAGGCAAGAACACTGGAGTGGGTGGCTTGCTGTGCCCTCCTCCAAGGGATCTTCCCGACCCAAGGATCGAACCTCTGTCTCTTATGTCTCCTGCATCGGCAAGCAGGTTCTTTACCACTAGCACCACCTGGGAAGCCAAGATATAGATGATAGAGTGCATATGCTCTCCCCTCCCAGGTTGGGCAATCTGGAAACTCTGCTTAAATATCTGGTCAGGGAACCAATGTTCATCAGAGTCCAGTATGATCTGGGGGATTTTAAAAGTGTGACAGAAATCGGTTGGGGGTTGCTGTGAAGATGCAGGTAGCCGTGGAACAGCGAGGCGGCCTCTGTAAAGAGTGGAGGGATGACCCTGAGTGAGGCAGTGGACACGGAACCCTCCCGCTGGTGGCCTGAGCTGCTGCCCCAAGGGACAAGGCCTGGGAAAAGGGGTGTCGGCGGGAAGCTGGGGCTATTGCAAGACCCAGACCCTTTCCAGTTAGGTGTTCACTAACCGCCAGGGTGAGGGCTTCCCTGGTGGCTCAGGGATAAAGAATCCACCTGCCAAGGCAAGAGACTCGGGTTCCTTCCCTGGGTTGGGGAGATCCCCTGGAGAAGAAAATGGCAACAAGTATTCTTGCCTGGAAAATCCTATGGACAGAGAAACCTGACAGGCTTTAGTCACTGGGGTCAAAAAACAGCTGGACACGACTTAGCAAGTAAGCAACAACAAACTGCCAGGGTTGAAGTCCACTCCGACGCTTTTCTATGAAACTGGAACTTACGCAATTTCTAACCGCACATCAGTCTTAGACTTTATGCTTCAGGCAACATTGGAGCCAAAAGAGAAAGCCCATTTTTCCTGATGACCTCTTACTTTTTTAAACAGTCGACTCAGATATAACTCACATACCACACAGCCCACCCAGTTAAAGTGTACACTTAAATGGCTTCAGGATAGTCACAGAATTGCACATCCATCACCACAATCAATGTTAGAACATTCTGGTTACTCTAAGAAGATACCCTGCAACCCTCAAGTGTCACCCCCAACCCCCACGCTTCCCCCAACTCCTAGGTGACCATGGATCTACTGTGTCTACAAAGGTGCCTGTCCCCAACATTTGACAGAAACGCAATTCAGGTAATATGTAACTCCTTGTCACTGGCTTTGAAGTCACATTTCAAAAAAAACCAAACCCATTAATTCCTATTAATGCTCATTCTCTCAGTCACTGGTCTTGAAAGGGGGGGGTAAACCCGATGATCCAACAGCGTAGGAGAAGATAAGAGTGGAATTTGTCACCATTTACAAAGTTCAGTTTTTATAAACTACTTGTGCGCCGGCTCAGATGAAGGGAGACCCTCGCTCCGGAGCCTGCTGCCCGCGGCTATGCAGTCGAGCCATGGTCCCGCTGCTCCGCTCTGACCCCGCATAGCATCGGCGCCTCTCAGCACGTGGGAAGCAAGTGCCAAGCCCTGAGCAGAGTCCCCAGGGGCTGGCCCCGTCCACCTGGGCTACTCTCTGCCACCCTGAGGGCCACTCTGCCTTGCCCCACAGGCTACTGGGCTGAGGATACCCCTCCAGCCCAGCATGCCTTCCTCTGGGCTCTCTGAGCAGGGTGCCCTTGACCACCTCCTCCCGGAGAGAGGCTCCCCGGGCCCCTTTCCCTGCCATCTGTCCCATCCCCTCACTTCACTGAGATTCCTATTGTCACCCATCCTTCCCATGAGGGCAGGGTCTTTATCTGCCTTGTTCACCTCTGAACTGCAGCACCCAGTGCTTCAGTAAAGAACAAACCCATCCCAACAGACCCGGACAAGGCTGGTCCTCCAGGCTGGCTTCAAAATGCACCCCCCAGGGAGCCCCTTCCTGGCCGGCTCTGCGCACCAGGGTGTAGGGGGGCAGCGGCACCTAGCTCGGCTGCCCTTACCGCCCAACCCCGCGTCATCCGCCCGCCTCACAGTCTCACTTCCCCTCNCTTCAGTAAAGAACAAACCCATCCCAACAGACCCGGACAAGGCTGGTCCTCCAGGCTGGCTTCAAAATGCACCCCCCAGGGAGCCCCTTCCTGGCCGGCTCTGCGCACCAGGGTGTAGGGGGGCAGCGGCACCTAGCTCGGCTGCCCTTACCGCCCAACCCCGCGTCATCCGCCCGCCTCACAGTCTCACTTCCCCAGTGACCACAGGGGCAGAAATATTCCCTTGCTTCCAGCCTACAGAGCCCTTGCCAGCCCTACTCAAGCTTTCCCAGCCAGGACCAAGTTTTCGTGTCTGACTTCTGCATTTGACTTGCTCTTTCCCTTCCCCTCTAAGACGGCATCAAAATGAACACTTCTCAGATGGATGAACTTGGATGAACTCATAGATGGGTCGCTCCCCCCCAACACACCCCCAAACTCACGGCTGTTGTTAAAAGTAGACCATTGACTGAACCCTCCCTGATGTGGTCACATTCAGGTAAAAACGCATGCGCTCCACTGACCCTGCGGCTTAGGGTGCTCAGCTCGGGGCTCAGGTTCATTTTAAGAAAATATTTCCCGGCGTTTTTTTTAATGTCGCTCTTACCTGTTCTCCTTCCAATCCCATGATCTTGGGAATTGACGGCCCACATATATCGATGTCTAGAAGAGCAACCTGGGGAACAAGAAGAGACCAAGGCAGTGATGCAACGCAGGTCCAATCCTCCGGGTATGCATGATCAGGAGGGGACAGGGTTCGAGGAAAAGGAGGGAAGGGAGGAGACACAGAGAAACCGGGTCAAACGTGAACTGAGTGGAATCTCAGAGTTACAACATTCCCTTCCGGGCCTTGGAGACACAGTCAAGACTCCTAACAACTGCAAAGTACATCAACACCCCCATGCTCCCCACAACCCCAGCCACCCTCAATACAGCCTATTTTCAAGGTGAGTTTATGAACCAGGGTATCAGGTTGTTCACAGATTCAGGTCCAGCCACTGTTTACCTGGTCCTTACCACATCCTGGGGGTAGGGGTGGTGTGTGTCTGTGATCATTATAACTGCTTTACCAAAGAAGAAACTGCGGTTCAATCTGGGGGAAGGCGGGGTGTGTGTGTGTGTGATCATTATAACTCTGCTTTACCGAAGAAGAAACTGTGGTCCAGAGATGCCTATAGACTTGTTCAATGAGCAAGGAAGCGAGCTGGGACTTAAACCAAGGTCTCTGGACTCCAACACCAAGGTTCTTCCCATGGCTCCCGGGGCCTGGCGAGGAGGGCCAGAGTGGCCCCTCCAGCTGAGTTCTGAGCAAGCCCTGTTTTCCTGTGATGCTGAAGGTTAACAGTGGCATAGGTTCAACTTCTAAAGGAGAAAGTAAGAATAAGGAAACACACAGAAGTTCTTTGCTAGTGACATGTCCAGCCCAGGAGGACTCTTTCCACCCCAAATGCCCTGCTTTCCCCATGTGATACATGAAAAGGTCTGAGACAGCTCTCAGAAACTCTTTAAAGAGCAGAGCTATTCATCCTGAAAGCTCTTATGTCTTAGATCCAAAGTACAGCACCTCTGGGTAACTTTTTAACTTGCCCCCAATTCGTTTCTTGCTTCCCTCTTCCATCGTCTCAACAATCCCCTGTGATCCTCACATGATCTCACACCAGGGTCAGGAAAGGGGTTCATACACTGGACCTCTGTCTGCCTCACGCACCCTCTGCTGGACCTCAAGAAGAATGCAACAGAACTCATCCTAAAGACCATTCTTGAGGCTTCAGGCTGGTGTGTATTAATGGACTAGACATTTTACATCTGAGTCTGAGGACCTGGGAAATTATACCATCCCTACAACCCTAATGAGAGACTTCTGTCAATCCTCTCGAGTCTCTAGCCTCTCGGTCTAATGCCTCACTCTCTCTTGGGAAAAGTTTAACCAATTTCCTTTTGAGGAATTATTAATACATCCCCTCCACCCCCAAGAGAAGGGGTATCTTGAGTGAACGATGCAGGAAAGATATCACATGCACTCATCCCTGTGGTGGTCTTCACCCCCTCCATACTCCAGGTAGTGGAATGAAGAAATAATGATGATGACTATCAGGGACACTGATTGAACACTTCCTACGCATCAAGTGTCGTGTTAAGCATTTTACAGTTACATGCATCATCTCACTCAGGACTGAGTCCCATTTTAGAGATGAGAACACTGAGGCAGAGAGAGTCTGATAACCTGCCCATGGTTACAGCAGTGGTGTGGGCGGTGCTGGGAGGTGACAGCGGGCAGACCGACTCCAGAGCCTGTGTTCCCGGCCACCACGCTAGACCTCGCCCCTGCCCTCCCCGGCCCCACAGGTTCAGCTAGACTTCGGACCCTCCCTCTTCTCCAGCAGTTAAGACGCCCAGCTACTCCATCTCCCCAGCTTTGCTCTCATTTCCTGCCCCTGATTCCAGCCACTGCCCTAGCTGTGACCTTGTGGCCCCTCATGGAGACAAGACCAACGTTTCCTGCTGGTTCACCATCACCCTCTGACAACACACTCAACTGCTGCTGCAGCAAAGCTCAGACCATGCCTCCTTCCCACGAGAACGTCTTCCTGGAGCGTTGAAGCCTCCTGGGCTGGCCCAGCCCCACTCTCGGCTCCTCCACTGCAGGAGCAGCGGCAGCCCTGCCCTGCCCGCCTGTCCAGTCTGCGCCGGCGGTTCCAGCTCTGCACCTCTGCCTATACCTCCTCCTGCCACCTTCCACCAGCTGCCATCAGAGTCCAGAGGACACCTTCTCCAACCTGCTGCCCAGCTGGCCCCGGGCAGTCCCTTCTCCCTTTCGCCAGATCCCTTGAACACACCTTGGGTAACAGATACCAGATTCCAGAGAAGCCCACATCAGTCAGGCAGGCCAACGGGAGTGGCTTGACACATCATAAAATGATCGGAAGAGAAATGAGTTACGAGCAGAATTCAGAGCCACAGTCAATGAGAGAAACACCAAGCCTTCTGGACTCCCTAGTCCCACCTCGGCACTGTCTCCAGAAGGCCACGGCCTCTCCAATGCTTCAATCCTCTTGCAACAAAGTTCTTCTCCAGCCGGCACTGGCGCAGCTGGGCTACAAACCAAACCGGGGCTGGCAAGCTGCAACCCGGGAGCCAAACCCAGAATGCCACCTGTTTTCTTTACAGACCACAGCTAAGAATGGCTATTATGTGTTTAGAGTAGGGGGTAAAAAAAATCAAAAGAACATATTTATTTCACAACATGTGAAAATTATGAAATTCAAAGTTTTATGAGAACATAGCCACAGTCATTTCTTCACAGGCTAATCTCATGTTCAAGGGGCAGAACTGAGAGTTGCTACAGAAACTGTATAACCTACAAAACCTAAAATAATTACCACCTGGCGCTTTATATAAAAAGTCTGCTGACCCCCAAGTCAACTCTTTTTTAACCCAATGATTTATATATATTTATAAAAATATATATTCCTGAGTCCTCGGTGAGGTATCAAAGAGTTATTGTGCATTTGTGTGTGTATCTGTGTGTGTGTACACACATACTGAGGGCAGGCTGGAATGGTGGGCTGCATCCCCCTGCCCATGGAGCTGCCTTTATGGTGTTTTTTTCATGGAGGAAATTTAGCCTTTATTTTATTAAGTACTTAGGATGCTATTTCATACTGGAATAGAATGGTTTATCTCACACAAGAACAAAGTACTGGCATTTATCCAGTTTTTACAGTTTTAAAAAAATAACTGGCAATATGGTGCAGTTTTGAAATGTCAATATTAAATTAAAAGTACTCTACAGTCCCTGCTAGTACTATTTTAACAAAAAAGCCAAATAAAAAGGAAAGGCCATTAGTCAGTTATAAGACAAATATGAAAAGCTAGCCTTTATACAAATGAAATAAATTTCAACATTCAAAATGCAAAAAGAGAAAACTAATTTTCAAAAATGCATCAATGTATGCAAGAAGGCACACACCAAGACAGTGGAAAGAACTGAAATGGTCTGGAAAGGCTTTTAACATGAGCATAATAAAACTGTTTCTATGTTACACCGAACCCCCTGCAAGCCCCAAACAGTCCTCTGGCAGAAAAACAGTTGGCAACCTACGTAGTTTTGGCAAAACCAAAAAGGTGGAATGCATTCTCTGTTGAAAAAAAATAAAAACCCCAGTGTTCATGGTTTCATCAGGTATAACACCGTAATCAAAGTGAATATTGGGGTCATGTTCTATGATCAAAGCAAAACTACGAGGCCCAGTGAATAACCTGTCTTTTTATTTTTTAATATAACAGGAACTGCAAATTTCCAGTTGACCATTTGGTAAAATTTTTCTCTTCCTCTCCCTCTCATACCTTTTATTAAAGCTGAAATCCTGAGAGCAGCCCTGGGGAATCTGAATTTTCCTGCTCCTCTGTGTATGTGGGTGTAAGTGAACGGCCTAGGACAGGGGTCGGCAAGCGTTTTCTTCAAGGGCCACATGGAAAGTGTTTTAGGCTTTCTGGGCAAAATCCAGGATGATATGTAGGTTTTAACGTAACACTGTAAGAACAACCATTTATAAACGTAAAAACCGCCCAGAGTTCATAGGCCATAAGAAGATAGGCTCCTGCTGGCAGACCCCTGGATAGAAAAGACAGAAACCGGGTTTCATAAAAATCCATAAAGAGAAAGAAGCTTGAACTGAACATGATGAATAATCGGCAAGCCTGGAGAAATGTATACCTGGTATCCATGTTCATGGCTAGAGAATCCAGTGAAATATTCATTTCATTGCTCAGCTCCCTTGCATTTCCTTGTTCCCTCTGCAGGGATCTAAATTCCAAAGAGGCCAATTCAACTGTTGCTAAGAGCCAGCCCCTTGCCAGCCATCATGAGCCCTGAGAAAGGAAGGAGCCTCTCCCAGTGTCCCCCAAAGTCCCACCTGTGTGTTTTCATCCTCCGCTAGGCCATGGGCCAGGTGGGCGCTAAACGTGCTTTTCCCAACGCCGCCTTTCCCAGACAACACCAAGATCTTGTGTTTCACACTCTTCATTTTTTCTTTGATCTCCTCTATGGCTGCAAAGAAAGCAAGTCAGGTGACCAAGCCCCTGACTCAATCTTTTAGTTTTTAAATTTTTACTGCAGTAGAGTTGATTTACAATGTTAGTTTCTGCTGTAAAGCGAGTCCGTTATATCTATACATATATCTACTTTTAAGATTCTTTTCTCATATAGGTCATTACAGAGTACTGATCAGATTTTCCTGTACTATACAGTAGGCCCTTATTAGTTACCTATTTCATATATAGTAGTGTGTATACATCAATCTCATTCTCCCAATTTATCACCCCCTGCCCCACCCCAGTACTGTAAGTTTGTTTTCTACATCTGTGACACTATTTCTGTCTTGTGTATAAGTTCATTTGTACCACTCTTTTAGAGTCTACATATAAGCAATATCATATGATATTTGTCTTTCTCGGAATGTCACCCTTCTGATGGGCTGGAAGGAGGTAAATCCTCGACTATTTCAAGGGATTGTGAGTGAAACAGCACCCCATCAATGGTAGTAATAAGAGCTACAAAAAATCCAAAAAAAAAAACCCCAAAACAAACCCACAAGGTTACTAGCACATCTGAGAATTCCTTACTTCTTGGTTTACTCATTTGTCTCCTCTACTAGAACATAAAGTCCATGAAGCAGGAAACTCAGCAGTGTTCATAATATATTCCCAGGTCCAGAACACAGCTCTGAATGCAGCAGTGATTTCCCAACCTGGGGCAAACCCCACCAGGACGCATTTGGCAGTGTCTTGGGATATTTTTGGTTGCCACAGGAAGGAGTGCTGCCCACATGTAGTGGGTAGAGGCCAGGAATGCTGCTAAGTGTCCTACAGTGTTCAGGGCAGAGACACACTCACAACAAAGAATTATCCAGCCCTGAATGTCAGGAGTGCTGGGAATGAGATACTGACAAATACTGCAGGCACGTAGTACCTGTCACCGATAACCATCATTATTACACATTTATAATACTATGCCTTCAGTATTTCCTCCTAGTTCAAATCCTTAAAACACTGTAACTATTTTTCCCCAGTTTGATGCGGAAACGGAGGGTCAGAGAGGTTAAGGCTTTTTAATGACCTCATCTGTCTCAATTACAGCACAGAACACTGTGCCTGCAAGTGATTAATTCATACTTCTGTTGAATTCAAGCTGTCGGCCCCTGGACAGTCTGCACGGAGACAAGATCGCAGTTAGAATGGTTCCTCTCCTTTCAGCTTCCCCTGCCCCCTCCGCGCGCTTACCGTGAGGCACCTCCTCCATTCTGCCTTGGACGCTTACGCGGTCACCGGAAACCGCGGTTGCATATTTCCGTCTCGTGGCGCTCAATCTGACCCTCCGGCTGCGCGGAATGAGTCTCCGAAAGAGGACTCTGCGCACGCGCGAACTCTGTGACAAGTGCTTAGGGCGGTTTTTTGTTCCTTTTAAAACTGAGCCTCAGTTATCTATGATAAATACCTCAGCGTGTCTGCTAGAAACAAAGGGGTTGCCCTACATCAATGCCATTTTCATACCCAAGAGATTTGATTGACGCAAAACTGTTAGCTTATATACACTTTTATATTCAAGTTAAGGAAAAGCCTGCCATCCTCGCTCCCCCAACCCTCTTAATTAAATTCAGGTTAAAGTTTTTAGCAGAATGCGCTTGAAGTTGGGTAGTAGCAGGAGGTGCATGATATCAGTTGGTCCCATTATTGATGATATTAGAGCTTGATCACTTGATAAAGATGATGTGTATCCTAACAGAAACATGCCAGGGAATGGTATCATTTCCATTTGTAATTAATATGGACTTTGTGGGTGACATGTTGAAGTCACGTGAATATCTTGTTCTCAATCAACCTTTCACCCAGTGGTTTTACCTCATTCTTTGACCAGTGGCAGGGAGGAAAGCGTCTACTGTTCTCTAACCTTCCCCTCCCTATTCCTCCTCACAAGGCTGTAAGACTGACGGTGAAGTAAAACAAAATCAAACAAAGCTTCTCTCAGCTTTGCTCCAGGTCTCCTACTCTCCCAGCCAAACTCCTCTGCCTCACCTGGGATGGAATTTTCCATCTATTGTGTTTGGGAGCAAAAGGCTGGAAGCCAGGTGGCTAAGCAGATTCCTCGGGCCCATCCCTGACCTACACAATCAGCGACTAGAGGGGTGGGCCTGGGAATCTGCATATTCACATTCTCACCAGATAGTAATGACATCCACTAAAGTTTGAGAACCACTTCTTACAACGAGCACTCCTCAAGACTCTTCTTGGACCGCTTTTAGTGGAACTTTCCACGTCTCCAGCCCCTATTTCTCACTAAGTTCAAACCCATTTATCTCAATCAATGCCTATTGGATTTTACTGCATGGATATCCTGTGAGCATGACAAACATGTCCACAGCTTTCTCTTCAAACTAGTTCCTGTCTCTGGAGCTCTCATCTCAGAGACTGATGCTACCCCTGCTGAAGCACTCAAGTCAGCAGCCTGAGCACCAGCCTTGCTTAGTTCTTTCTCCCCTGTATCGGTTAGCAATTGCTGCATAACAAATTNCCTGTCTCTGGAGCTCTCATCTCAGAGACTGATGCTACCCCTGCTGAAGCACTCAAGTCAGCAGCCTGAGCACCAGCCTTGCTTAGTTCTTTCTCCCCTGTATCGGTTAGCAATTGCTGCGTAACAAATTAACCAGTGGAGAAGGCAATGGCAACCCACTCCAGTACTCTTGCCTGGAGAATCCCATGGACAGAGGTGCCTGGTAGGCTACACTCCACAGGGTCGCAAAGAGTCGGACATGACCAAGCGACTTCACTTTCACTTTTCACTTTCAGGCACTGGAGAAGGAAATGGCAACCCACTCCAGTATTCTTGCCTGGAGAATCCCAGGGACAGAGGAGCCTGGCGGGCTGCCGTCTGTGGGGCACAGAGTCAGACATGGCTGACGCGACTTAGCAGCAGCAGCAGCAGCAGCTAGTGGTTAAGACAACAGCGTCTTCTTATTTCTCACGACTCCTCTGGTTTTATTTGGGCTCACCCGTGTGGCTTCATTCAGGCAGGGGCTGACTAGAAGATCCAAGACTCTCGTGCTCCTCTGGATTTCCCACCACATGGCACCTGTCTACACGTGGCCTCTCCTCACTCACTGGTCCAGCCTGATCACCTTTCCATGGCCGCTGGGCAAGGCTGGGATCTCGCACAGGCTCACGCTTTCACATTCTGCTGGTCAGAGCAAGTCACAAGGGTAGCCCAGGTTCACAAGCTGGGGAATCAGACACCACGTCCTGATGGGTGCAGTGGCAGGTGGGCACAGAGATGGGGGTAAACATTGGTACTCACCATTGGAGGTGTCTGCATTGGAGGTGTCTGTGGTGTCTTCCTTGACAGTCACTCAGGCTTCTAGTCCTGTGGCCTCCCCGCTGGGGGGTGTGGTGGCCTGGCTATGCGACTGGTCTGATTCTTCACCCTCCTCTTCATCTGTGCCCTTAGCTGTCTAGCTTTGCAGTGCATTCTGTTCAATCATTGACTCTGGGCTCAGGCATGTGAGTTACTTAACTAAGGAGATGTTAGCAAATGGGACCTAAGAGAAACCTCATAAAAGCCTGTCTTCATTCCCTCTCATGTCCCTCTGCCATGACTGTGAGGCCATCTTTGGGCTAGACCATGGAAGGTTAGACGTGGAGCTAAGCGAAGTCACTCCAGGGGTCCCAGCCAAGGCCTTTCCAAACCAGTGACCCTGAGACACACAGGACCAAGTGCCGCAGCCGCACAAATGATGATAGATGTACGAGTGAGTCCAGCTGAGTCCACGAGAGCTGCCCAACCCACCGAATAAACACCGTTTTAACCACTGTGTTTGGGGTGGTGACGGACACGTCCCAGGCCACCACTTCCATCATCACTACTGCCTAGGCTCAGGCCCTGTCCTCCTGGGTCTGCAATAGTTTCTGTATCTGCTGGTCCAGGCTACGTTGCCAGAACTAACATCCCGCAGGCTGCACAGGCTCAAGGCAGCAATGTTTATTTTTGGCTCCGGCTTCATTGACTGAGGCCCCTGCTCACGGTCGCTCAGGGATGCAGACAGATTCGCCATCATGTGATGCTGCCACCATCTGAACACAAGTCTTCAAAGGTGGAGAGTGTGAATTGTGCATGAATTTAAGCTTCTGTTGAAATGCATCTTCCCAGAAATGAAACCTGTCTGCTCACTTTCCACTGGCGAGATTCAGTCCCGTGGTCACCCCCAGAGAGGCACAGGGGTGCAGGAGGAGACTTGGAGGGTGGTGGGCCCTGGACTGTCCCGCATAGATCCGCGTGAGGTTTCTCTACTACAGATCTATTGGGCTTTCCCCTGCACAAACCCACGGTGTCACTGCTGTTCCTAAATCTTCAGTGGCTCCCTATGGCCCGCGGGCTAGCATCCAATCTTTACATGGTTTTCAGTGGCCTCTATGACCCAACTGACCTGTCCAGCCTCATTTCTTGCCCTGGGCCAGTGTGAAGGCTGGGCCCTAACCACTGAACAGCTGGCATTTCCCTGGGGACCCCAACCCATTACTCTCACTCACGGAGGTCCTTCTGCAGGGACCCCCCTACCCCCCGACCCTTGCCTGTCCATCCATCACCTGGTCCCCTCGAGAGACCTCTCAGCATCTTCTCACAGGTACTGTTCCTGGTCTGTGAGATTTGTGAAACTGACTGCTCCCCCTTTCCTGGATTCAGTGTGTTCCAAAGGTCTGAACCCAGTTTTCTGCTTTAGGAACTTTGGACGCATGAGTTAACTTAGAAAAAATCAGCATTTGGCATTTGCAAGTTGACATTTCCTTTATATTTATCTAGTCTCATGAGTTTGAAATAAGACTTTAAAATTTTCCTTTCAGTCCTCCTGACTGTAGATGGCCATGATGACTAAAACAACAAAATTAAAGTTTAGGGGGTTCCTAAACTTTAATTCTAGTGGTTAGGATTCTGGGCTTTTACTGCCATGGTGCAGATTCAATCCGTAGTTGGGGAACTGAGATCTTGCAAGCCCTGCAGCATGGCTCAAAAAAGACCAAAAAAGAG